CTTATTACGCAACCCAAATCTGGAACGTTTAAGTTTTACAATCATTAAATAAATTCTGATAATCTGATTATCTTCTCTGAATTTTGTGTTCAAGCACAAAAAACTCATGATGGAACGATCTATCTTTTCGATAACGGATAAACCTTTCCTTTTGAAAATAGAAACGTATTTTGAAGATTGATAATATGCATTAATCAAATCATAACAAATAATGTTCATTAACAATTTTAAATTTTCCAATTCTATCACTGTGCATATTTTGTGTATTGGCACGCAGAAAAAAATGAAACAAAGAAAAGTGGATATTTTTATAAAGATTATATTAATAATAAATCCTTTAAACATATAATGCGAAATAGATAATATTGACATTTTTTTCCCACAAATTTTAATCATGTAAACATCTTGTGATTTTGGTATTCAAAACAAAACAAAATAAAGATAAGCAATTCTAGATTCCAAATTTTTATCAATAATAAATAATATACAAATTATTGATAATATCTTTTATAAATTTCTAAAAATAATAAAAAAATATTCTCATGATTCTTGTGATCAAAATAAATAATTTTTATCAAATCATATCATATTTTGTCAAAATCGATAATGAATGATCAATAAAGGAAATAACCCCAAAAATTGAGTGAATACAAAAAAAATCTTTTTCTTTATCTTTGCTTAAAATAGAAATATCTCTTTTTTTAATACAATAACTCGAACATAAACTCATTTACAAATGAAAAAAAATATACAAAGCTACATCTTTAAGATTTGTAGATAAACCTAATTTAATAAACTTAAACACAATACAGAATTCTAGATTTCTTTAATTTTTATAATTTAACTATTCTATATTATTAATCAATAAATCTAAGTCTTAAAAATTTTACGATTGTTAAATGATTCAATTTCAATTTCAATTTCTCTAAGATGTTTTTTTTCTAAGTCAAATTTTTTTTTAAATATATTAATATAAAATAAAAATATAAAATTACTAATTTGATGACAATTCATCAATTGTTTTACTTTGTTCGAATCTTAAAAAATACAAATCATATTTTACAAAATAAAAAAATTGATTTAAAAAAAAATGTCATTTATTAAAAAAATTTTTAATAAAAAATCTAATAAACAAAATATCATTTGATTTATTAATAAACTATTCATTCAATAATTTTACTAAATAATATTTTAAGCATAAAAAAATTTCTTTCCAAATATGATAAGTAATATCTGTCACTTTTGAATATAATGTTTCATAAATAAAAAAAAAAAATGAATCTATAATGAAGAGGAAAATAACATTCTAATTTTGGATAATATAAATATAAAATTCCTAAATTTTCATCCATATTTTCTTGTACACATTTATTATTCACTTCATTCATCATTGGATCACTATCAATATATAAATCTTTCATAAAATCCGTATCTTCAATACAATTATCCATAAGTTTTATAATACCATCGAAAGAAAAAATCTTTATATCATTTCTTTCATACTTAAAATAATATCTATGATAATCATGAATCTTATAAAAAAATATCTTGACTTCATACATTTTCTTATTATATTCATTCATAAAATACAAATAAATATCTTTATTTTCTATATATTTCATTCCATAATTTTCTACTGATTCAAAAATAACATACGGAACTTCTTTCTCCCAACTATATGAAGGTCTTCTTTCATATATATCATTCTTATATGCGTTTAACAAATCCCAAATACTTCCACAGTATTTATCTCCATAAATATCTACTAAATTCCAAATATCTAAACCAAGACTTAAAAAATTAAAAAAAAATTCATTTCTGATATGACCTCTTTTCTTACAATCTTTACGAACACATTCAGAAGAAAATATCTCTTCATCTAATCCAAATTTTTTATAAAAACTTATTGCAAATTTTTTTCTAAAATAATAATAAAAATATCGACATGTGTATAATATTCCTTTTATTGTTTTCACGGGTTTCTTCACATAAAGAATATCTAATTCGAATATCTCATAAATTATAGTATCGATAATTTCATTATAAAAATCAAGTGATAATTTTAAATCAATCATATTTACTCTATAAAAAAATATAATAAATTGTAATATTTATAATCGATCAAATTATTAATTGAATTTTTAATCAAATAATTTTATTTTATTTCTAAGCTGATCTCAACAAAATTTCGTATATGATTAATGGTTATTTCACTATATCTTGGCATGATAACGGACATGATCAATGGTTATTTCTTATAATGAAATCTATTATTAATTTAATTTATTTATTTAAACCAATTATTTTTAATTTTAAATTAATAAAAAAAATGAAACCAAAAATCAAAGAAAAATTTTTTCATATCAAACCTAATAATTCCAATAAACTTTATTGTAACATATGTGAATCACATTTTGTTAAACATGCCTCTAATGCAAATTTAAGAAGATATTTTACTAAATATCATAAAAAGGAACTTGACGATTTTGATATTAATAATATTTCATCCGAACTCACAAGACTTGAAGAATCTACATCTTATGATGAAGAAAATAGTGATACCAGTTCCATTTCAAATATTTCTCATAAAAATAATAATTTTATTAAAGGATTAATGAAAAGATTTGATGGACAAGGAGAAATTGATATTATTAATGGTAAAATAAAATTTAAAGGAAAATTTAATTAATGTATTCATATATTATCTATTATTTATATTTTATAAATAAAATCATATAAAAACATAAATTACATATTTTTTTTTTTATAATCTTAATTTTGTATAATAATAATATATTTAAACTACATTTCTTATAATCTTAGAAAAAACTAATCTTTTATATTTAATATTAATAAATATTACCATAATTGTTAACTTCGTATGGAATATCTTTGTAATTTTGTTGTTTTGGGCAATCCTTTTTTATATGTCGAACGCACCTTGCGTAAAAAGAACACAAATTACATTTTGGAATTGTATCTTTAAAAAAATCCTTCTTTTGTGTATTTGATTTATCTTTGGACCAAATAATTTTCTTTTTACGTACATTTTCAATAAGCCTTTTTTTACTGTAATAGCATTTTTTGCAAATAGGATACTTCAACAATTTTCGAGCTTCGCAAAAACACAAATCATATCCTTTCATGCACCAATCACAAATCTTAAAAACAGATTTTTTTCTACGCCCACAAGAACAAATATCATCTGAATACCATTTCGACATTTTGTATTATTTTTCATTTATTAAAAAAATCATCTTATTTATGAACTTATTTAATTAATAATTTCTTTATAAAATACTTTCATAAAGATATTTACAAAACTTAATATCAAATATTTTTTTGAGGCTTGATAATTACTTGTTTAGATGTAATTTTAATACCATTTAACATCAATATCTCAACATCATCACATATATATATAAAGTTAATATTTCGTTTATTGTAAACACCTTGTTTTTCATTGTTTTTTTTATCATATTCAAATTTTCCTATAAATAAAATATAATTATTAATTATATTTTTTTTTTCTTAATTAATAATTCTCATATTTCTCACTTAAATCATAATTTTCTTCCTTTAAAAATCTTGAACGCAAAGAACTTGGAAAATCCCAACCCCATAAACTCATTGTAAAATGAAATTTTATTTCTTAAAAAAAATATTCATTCATCGGAAATAATGTTTTTATATAATATTTTTTTAATTCTTAATTATTTCATTTGAAAAATATTATTGAATTCAAATGTAATTTTTCATAATTGTACAACCTAATAAAAAAGGTATCAAATATACTATATCATCATAATATCTTATAATATTAGTAATTGTTTTTTTTCTTATAAATCTATCATCTTATTTCGTCTCAAATATTTTAAAAAAAATGGAACAAAACAATAAATCTGAAAAAATTGAAAATGATCAAAATGAATTATTCTGGACTGATGAAGAATGTACTTTTACAGAAAAAAAATCTTTTACATTATCCATAAATTTAAAAATTCCATTATTAATTTTTTTCATTTACAATCTTTATTATTACCCTCTTGTATTATTAGAAACCTTGCTTTTGTTATTTATTTTTACGTTACTCTTGAGTTTAATTCTTCTTATACTCTCACGATATAATTCAAACATTAAAATAACCATTATCGATATTATTAATTAATCATACCAAAAAATTAGTAATTCAAATTAAATATCATTTCTTTTATAAATTACATTTATTTCTTTTTTTTTAAGTAAAAAATGTCTAAACCTTCACTCTATAAAAAAATCGATAAACTTGAATCAGAAATTAAAGATCTTAAATCAGAAATCACTACAAGAGAATATTATTTTCGTGAAATTCATAAATTTCTCGCTGAATATCTTGGTCATGAAGAATATAATAATTTTTTCAAAGAATTCAATACTAAATTATCTCAATAAAAAACTTTTAAAGAACTTGGATTCGTTACAGGAGATAATTTACAAAAAGAAACTTCTCAATCTTTGGTCCTCTCTTATAACAATAAAGATATTATTGTAATTTCTGATACTGAAATAAACTATTCTAAAATTATTGACATAGAAAGTGATTCTTCTGATAGAAATAATAGTTTTAACGATTAAGATACTTTTAATAATATTTATAACAGAGATTAATATTTTACTTTTTTTATTTATATATGAATTAAATTTATTATTTTTATTTATATATCAATTACTCGTAAATAA